AAGATGAATTTGTTAGGGTTTCTGTGAGTAGAATGAGATGAAAATGGATCTTAGTTGGGGGAAGAACCCTCTTAGCATAAAAACTGCGAACTCTCTCATTCCCTTGAATTTGTTACTCTTATCCCTCCTTTTATGACTCAACAATTATTTTATTTTTTTTACTATGAATTTTTCTTTTTATTTTTATATTGTGAAATTAAGATTTTTTTAATATTTTTAAAAAAGAAAATTAACATAAGACATTGCAATATCTAATTTTTTAGGGTTTAGGATTTATGCCTTCATTAGCTTATTTTTTAAAAAATGAAATATTGTTAAAATATTTGTTAGAATAATTTACATTTATAAATATCGTTAAAAATTATCATATAATATATAACTATATATATATATATATATATATATATTCTCTATATCTAAATACTCCCGTTTATATAAAAAGATTATATATCTAAATATTTTCTCAGTATCAAATATACTGATTTTTTTTATATAAAAATTATCTTTTGTCTCTATATTTTCGTTTTTACATTTTTTTATAATGATTGAGATATTTGATCTATTTGGATAGCCAAGATATATTCGATATTATATAATTGGTGTGCTTCTAAAAATAATAATATAATTTTATTGATTTTGTCTTTTATCCATAATTATTTATATAACTAGTTTTCAACATATATTATTTTAATAATTCAAATGGAGATTCACATGGAAATAATAAAGAAAAAGGAAAAGAGAAAGAAAACTATGAAGCTTAAACCAAGGAGGATTCCGATGAATTGTTACAATTGATAGTGGATGCTATAAAAAGATGATAGAATATTATGGAGAATTATTATTATTATTTATCTAGACATTATTATTATTTTTAATTATTTTTATCTTTGACTCTTTTTAAATTTGAATGTATGAATTTTTTTTTAAATCTTATCAAATGTCAAAACTCCACAAAATCCCACAGAATCCATTAAAATCCTGATTTAAAAGTCTTGTAGAATCCATTAAAATCCTGATTTTAAATCTTGTAGAATCCTGCAAAATCTTAAAAGTCATGAAAATCCTGCAAAGTCTTTTAAAATCCGCAAGATTCTTTTTCACTAAAAAAAGTCCTTTAAAATCCTAATCCAATACACCCCCTAAGTCTATCTATTTTATCTAGTCTTTTATTAACACTTTGTTTAAAGAAATATAAAATAAAGAAATAGATACAATGAGTAAAAGTAGATTTTAGGTGAACGTTCTGCTTAAAATAATAAAAATAAGAAAGGAAAGAAATAACTCATTTTCACTAATTTGGTTAAATTAAAAAAATAATGAAAGACAAATTTAGCTATTTATTTAATATTATAAAAAAAATCAAATTACTCCAAATCTTGCTATATTTTTTTCTACTCAATAACTAATTTACATCAACTTTTAACAATAAATTAAAAATCCTTAGTACATAGACCAAATTTATAAACTTTTAAAAGTTGAAAATATATTAAATACCTCATTTTATTAATTTAAATTGACAAATAATCATTAATATATAAAAATAAACAATTCAAATTTTGGGTTTCGACACAGTAAGCAGGAGGCAAATGAATGAACACAGCAGTTCAGGTTCCGCGTTTTGTCCCAACCGGACTCTACCATCCCCTTCTTGCTCCCATTTCCAAATCCCTCTTCTTTTTCTCCTCTCTCTGATCTAGCCCTTATGAACCACTTATAGTCATGAGTTCTGACTTCTGATATTAATTCCTATATATATATATATATATGCTAGTCTATCTTTTGACTCGACGCTTATAAGGACGAGCATATCCTCCCCATTTCACATTAGTTGGGGATGGGACGGATCCCATGAAAATATTTCCATTTCCCTTCCAATTTCAGCTCTAACCAAACACTTCAGTTCATTTCAATCCCACCCATTTCAATCTTTCCTAAATCAACCCAAACAAACAAACAAATGCTTAATAGGAAGAATATGATTTTGAAGTTCCATAAATAGCACAAGAAAATACAGTGACTGACTCGATCTAAGAATGAATTGAAAATTTCAAAATGCATAACCATTAAGCAAGCACATGTCACATGACAACAAAGACATAGCAGGCACCTTGCAATATAAACATGAAACTCAAAAGAAGATATGGTATTTATTAAAACAAAGCAAAATCTTGAACATTTTCATAGTGCACTAAACTCAATGCTTCAGGATGATCCAAAGCTTAAACCAGAAAAAATGGGAGAAAACATGGTACAGTTCCTTGTCATGAATTATTTCAGTATTCTACTCCGTCCATGGGATAGATAGCCCCACGGATCTTTCAATGCTTTCAGTGATGAGACTGAGACTGAGACTGAGACTTGGCGTGCGCTTTTTGATGAGACTTGGCTTTTGCCTGAAAGTAAGGAAAATATGACAGAGAATATAAAATTAATGCCAACAAAGCAAAAGACAAATAAGTTTTACAAACCGCACTAGAATCAAAAGATATAGATGTATAATTAAGCAAGGTAAAGCATCCTAAATTTCCTACATTATCAAGAATTAACAAGTGAAAAAATGGGAGGAGTTCAACACTATCAGAATATCAAAGTTAAAAACATAACAAATGGAACAGCACAACAATACATGCCATTGAATTAAACATGGATTACAAAATTGTATAACAAAATTCAGAATAAATTTAAACCATCAAGACTTCACTACATAACTTTTCATAAGCGTTTTCCCAGCACCAGGAGACCATTTAACACTGGTTCAAGATCATTTACAAAACTATCAGTAAAACCACTCAAGCAATTGACAAGGCAAAATGGCTTAATTCAAGCTACGCCTGAAGATCTAGCCTGAAAGTAGAATCAGACGAGATCTGCAAGCTGAGACTTTGATTAACAAAACTAATAACAATAAATCTGTGTTGTTCATGCAACGAGTAAAATCCCTTAAACATATGCCACACGCATTGACAAAAACAAATCACAAAAAAAAAAAATGAAAATAGCAAAAGCAAATCAATCTGGTTGTAGGCTAAACAGGGAAACCCCAGAATTTTATTTTTTTTTAAAATGCCAAAATCATTTCAACGATCAAATTATAGTCAGAGGACATCCAAATTGAGCAGCATCGCATCTAAATCAGATGAACATTGATTAAAAAATATTTGCTATGAAAACCCGAGCAGGGATTTCTCTAGATCGTAAAATTATAGCGTCGGAAATGAATGGAGGAACGAGGGATTGATTAAAATACCTTAAGGTACTTGAGTTTAATGCTTCCATAAACAATGCCAAAGGAGAAAGCAGAAGCCCGAGCGACCTGCGAATGCACAAGGTTTTAGAGAAAACAGAGAAAGTTTTGTGGCTCAATTAGAACCTCGTTTTCGACGAGAAACAAAGAGAAAAAGGTGATTGAGGCATACCAAGGCTAGGGTGCTGGTACCAGAATAAGGTCCTGATGGTGCTGCCATTACGATCGAGGGTTGTCGGCGCCGAAGAAAGGAACAATGGAAGGCAACGACTCCGAGCCTAGAACTAAACACTGCTTCACAATTGTCGATTATCGAACCCTAGCCAAGGTAGGACCAGAGCGAGAGAGAGAGAGAGAGTGACTCAGTAACTGCACAGTCTTTTTAATGGCCCAACCTCCCAACAGGCCCAAGAATACTTGATACGGGCCTCCAATTGGAATCCAGATGCAATAAATATCTGGTTGATGATATATGCACCTCCTTTTTTCTATAAATACATCTCCTTTTTTAAAAAAAATAATTAAAATTTTAAAATATTCTTAATTTTTTATTTTTTATTTTATGTCCACAATATTTAATTTAGTACTTTTTTTTATATATCTTTCTTCCTTTTTTCAATTTTTACATGTACCTCCTTACCTTTCTCTCACTATACCTATTTTGGTAGCATTTAAAAACTAAAAGAGAAAAAAAAATGTGTGAAAAAAAGAAAAAAATAACAAATAAAAAGTTGAAAATGTAAAATTTAAAAAAAAATTACAATATTTAATAATTTTTATAAAAAAAAATAAAGGAAGTATACTTATATCTACCGTCTGTTTCATTTGGATATAGGACTATTTTTGTTCCAAAAGGAAGAAAAAAATTGAATTGGATCGCATGGTGCATGAACTACCGAATGTTGATCCGGGATGCGTTCGCCATCTTTTACTTTTCACTATAACTTACTTCATGCGTGGTAGAATTAAATGAAAATAATAAAGTATTTATAATATGTTAATGTTAAATTAATACAAAATATAAGGTATTTTCAACTAAATAATTTTTTTTATAAATAAATTGTACCAACCTGGTCGAGTTAATAACTAACTCAGCCAAGACACAAAGCACCGAAATAACATTCAAATGACATGCTTAATAACAACGATGTCGGCACATCATATTGGTTAAAGTAAGGTCACGTTGTCTAAAGACCCAATCGAAAAAGATAGGTTTAGTTGCAATGTCCACAGCACAAAAATCGTAACAAATATATTATCCGCAGATAAGGTAGTCCAATATCAAAAGACGTATATACACTAAATATTAAGAGATATCAAAAATATGATATATTAATTTAAGTATCAAAATCCTTTTTTCAAGTATTCCCCTATTTGAATAAGAGAAAGAGACATTGTATCATCAAACAAGGACATGAAGGAAAGAAAGGAGATCTCACCCGAGAACGTCAGCATCTGAGCTATTCTTGGTGAGAACATAAATATACATTGTTAATATAAAATATAAATTATAATACAATTAGGGAATCAACTCATTCGCTGAGATACTAAACTTGATTTTTTTAAAACAAGATTTAAAATTTGAATCTTATAAATATATATAAAAAATTCAACAAAAGTCAGTCATTTGATAAAGTTGATTGATAATTCACACTAATAAAAGCATGATTAAAAAAATTAACACAATTAAGGAAATGGTTACGTGGTTACGACTTACGAGACCTTCAAAGCCTAAAGCCCAAAAATGTAGATGATATCCAAGTCCACTCCTGGCCCCAAATCTAATGCTGAAAAAAATTGCAGCGGGACTTATTTTTGTGTTGTAAATAAGGTTTACTCAGATTCTGTTTGAAACTCTCATCTAGATAAAAGTTTATTAATTATTAAAGTTTTATTTAAATCACGATTTAGGAACTTTTCAAACGTGAATCAAAACGCATACTTTAACCGTGTGTTTGCATCCGCGTTTTAACGTGGTTTTTCACGTTCAACTTGAAATAATGAATAACTGCTTCTACGTAAATCCGTATGTAAACGTGAAAACACGCGTTTCAAAATGAAAATCAAACACCCACTAAGTCTTAGTTATTTTGCATTCTCAAAAGTGCGCATGCATTATATATGAGTTCGTGGGTCCAGTCTACGCGACCTTATCCTACTGGAAACGAGTTATGGTTTCACAATTATGTGTCTCCTCTTCCAATCTTTTTTTTTATTGATTTCTTTCGACCTAGATATGTCCAATGAGAAAGTTGACGTAGAGTGTATTCTTGAGTTCCGCGTTTTAATATTATTTAAAGGCCAATTGCATCCCTCCCTTTGGCTTATCCTTTTGCTTTGTCAGTCGAGACAGCATAGTTTATCATCGTCGAAAGCTATACAATTGTTGTTAATACTTAGTACACCATTTTACAATGATAAAAATAAAAAGGTGAAGAACAATAATGATTTTGGATAAGCATGGTAATGACCGTGAGTAATGGTGTGGTGTTATATATCCTTTCTTGCTTAATGTCTAGTCTAGATGCGGCTGCGGTCCACTTATACAAAGAAAAAGATAGTTTAGTTATTTAATATGTATCTGTTCATACTATGCAAAACAATATGGCCATGAATGATGAAAGTATAGTACAAGTACATTTATTTAGCTGTCCAATTTCCCATATGTGCAATTTCTCACAGGATAATCGACTATTATAACTACAAATATGGAGTCCAGTATATATAAAGAAATATTTTAATTAAGAAGGAAAAATGAGCTACTATTGGTATCAAAATGAAAATCTTGGGCAGCTTGAAAATATTCGAATCACGGTCTACTCCCACTGTCTCAAATATAGTAGTTTATTTATGTGGAATAATTCTTTCGTTTCTCGGTATTGCTATTAAAGATATTATTCCATTGAAATATTTTTTATTTTTATATTTTATTTGATAAAATTATTAATATTTATTTAACTAATTGATATTATGTTTGATCTTCCGATAAAATTTTGAGTTAGAATTTTATCGGTTACGTGGTTACGACTTACGAGACCTTCAAAGCCTAAAGCCCAAAAATGTAGATGATATCCAAGTCCACTCCTGGCCCCAAATCTAATGCTGAAAAAAATTGCAGCGGGACTTATTTTTGTGTTGTAAATAAGGTTTACTCAGATTCTGTTTGAAACTCTCATCTAGATAAAAGTTTATTAATTATTAAAGTTTTATTTAAATCACGATTTAGGAACTTTTCAAACGTGAATCAAAACGCATACTTTAACCGTGTGTTTGCATCCGCGTTTTAACGTGGTTTTTCACGTTCAACTTGAAATAATGAATAACTGCTTCTACGTAAATCCGTATGTAAACGTGAAAACACGCGTTTCAAAATGAAAATCAAACACCCACTAAGTCTTAGTTATTTTGCATTCTCAAAAGTGCGCATGCATTATATATGAGTTCGTGGGTCCAGTCTACGCGACCTTATCCTACTGGAAACGAGTTATGGTTTCACAATTATGTGTCTCCTCTTCCAATCTTTTTTTTTATTGATTTCTTTCGACCTAGATATGTCCAATGAGAAAGTTGACGTAGAGTGTATTCTTGAGTTCCGCGTTTTAATATTATTTAAAGGCCAATTGCATCCCTCCCTTTGGCTTATCCTTTTGCTTTGTCAGTCGAGACAGCATAGTTTATCATCGTCGAAAGCTATACAATTGTTGTTAATACTTAGTACACCATTTTACAATGATAAAAATAAAAAGGTGAAGAACAATAATGATTTTGGATAAGCATGGTAATGACCGTGAGTAATGGTGTGGTGTTATATATCCTTTCTTGCTTAATGTCTAGTCTAGATGCGGCTGCGGTCCACTTATACAAAGAAAAAGATAGTTTAGTTATTTAATATGTATCTGTTCATACTATGCAAAACAATATGGCCATGAATGATGAAAGTATAGTACAAGTACATTTATTTAGCTGTCCAATTTCCCATATGTGCAATTTCTCACAGGATAATCGACTATTATAACTACAAATATGGAGTCCAGTATATATAAAGAAATATTTTAATTAAGAAGGAAAAATGAGCTACTATTGGTATCAAAATGAAAATCTTGGGCAGCTTGAAAATATTCGAATCACGGTCTACTCCCACTGTCTCAAATATAGTAGTTTATTTATGTGGAATAATTCTTTCGTTTCTCGGTATTGCTATTAAAGATATTATTCCATTGAAATATTTTTTATTTTTATATTTTATTTGATAAAATTATTAATATTTATTTAACTAATTGATATTATGTTTGATCTTCCGATAAAATTTTGAGTTAGAATTTTATCTTTATAAAAATAATTAATTTTTAATAATATTTTTTATTATTTAAATAATTATAAATAAAATCATCTAAAAATAAACATACATTAGAGATGCGGTTAAAGTTATTCTGTTCCAAATAAACATACTTCAACTGCGTCCGTGTACTTGAACAGTTGGAGTTTGCGTGGATTCACTTGCTCTCTCTGTGACTAGAGAGGAAGGAATCAGATTTTTACATGAGAACAAAACTCTAGTGGAGAGGAATCTCAAATGTCTTCTAGAGAGAGAGAGAGAGAGAAGGAAACCAGAAATGCAGAAACGAGAAAGTATGATCATCCAATAATTTGAATAAATTCTCAACTCAAAGACGTTCAGACATTCAACTTGGCTAAGAAAAGCATTAGCAACCTCTGGAGCTTTTGGATACAAATTACGATGTAGTCACTTTCATCAACAAGGAGATTCTCAACATTCAAATATGGCTTATTATAAATTCTATAATAGGGATGTTGGTAGTATTTAAGATAGTTGCATGTGTTTTCTCAGATAAAAATCTGTCTTATATGTGATATTTATTAAATGAGTATTTATGATTTTTATAAATACATCATAAATATTTATAGATATTTATAATATTATTTTAAAAAAATTTAAATATTATAATAAATTTAAGTTTGTATACATTAATTTTATTTAAAAATAATTAATATTAATTTTTGAATTTATATTTGTTAAAATATCAAAAATAATATTAAAAAATATAAGATAAATATATAAATATTTTACTGTTTTTAGTTAATAAATATCTATAAGTATAGACATTATTATTGTGAGACTCGTGCCTTCCTTCTCTTCTTCTCCTTCTCAACTCTCACTAAACTCATTTATTCTTTCTTTTCTCACTATCTCTTGTTGATCCTTTCTTGGTGGTGGCCGAATTGATTCATAGGTGCGGAGTAAGTGATTGTTTCTGAAGCTGTGCGGAGCCTTCTCAAGTCTCTCATTCTCCCCTTTACTTCTCCTCCTCCTTCATTGTCGTCTTCCTTCCCGAAGCTCGCAACCGTTGAACCGAGGTAAGGGAAGCTAGTAAATTCCTTTCTTTTGTCGCTGTTTTTGGCCGTGGATGAGTTCTAGAAACTCACTAGATGCTTATTGATGGTTGATTCGTGATTGTGTTGAATGAGAACTTGTTTTTGGGGGTTTTGGGGTTTTTGAGAAAATTTGGGGAAATCCTTGATTTGTTGTTGCATGTTGAAAAAGGTAGTATTTTTGGGTTCTTGGATGGAAATGTGATAATTTGAACCGATTGCATGTGCCTGGGAAGTTGATTTGTGCAGGTTTGATGAAATTTTTCGAACTGGGGAGAGTTACCGTTTGAATTCGCGTCGGACGCATTTCTTCGCGCAAGGCGCGACTTGAAATGGGAAGTTTCTGGGTGAATCGCGCTGGGCGTGATGAGGACAGCGCTGGGCGCAATAGAATTTACAGGTCTCTGGTTGAGAATTGCACCGGGCGCGCACTTAACGCGCTGGGCGCGCATTTGTGTTTTAGAATTTGACTTTATAGTCTTCATAAAAGTTGTAGCCTTGGATGTTAGCTTTCCAATGGCACTGGAATCACTCAAAAAGGAGTTTTAGAACTCCAGATATGGCCGTTTTAGTGAAGAGGGGTCAGGCTGCCAGCTTTACCTATAGCTGTTGCGGTTTTTAGAATATTTAACAAGGTAGATGAATGAATTAAGACTTGGTGTATTCATGAGAGTTGTAGAAAATTTGATTATCTTTCATATGAAATAAGGATGAGCATGGTAGGAGTAGTATAACTCATGATGTGCTATTTTCTGTGAAGGTTGCCATTTTCCATTTAGTGATTTGGTTAAGTTTAAAGTTGTTTTAGGTGCTTAGGTTGATTGGTGTTGTTTGGGTGGGTAATTTGACAAGATAGATGAGTTGTAAATAAGAGGATTGGGTCGTAGAATGTGTTGAACATGTCGTACGTTGTGGAATTGTTGATCATGCTATTTTATGTTGTTGATGATGAAATGCTACGCTGTATTGGATACATATGTATGTGCTGATATTGGTGTGTTGCGCTGAGCGCGGCCCTTGTCGCGCTGGGCGTGAGACTCCTTGGGAGTCTCTACCCTGTGGGCGCTGGGCGCGAGACCAATGGGAGGTCTCTGCCTTCCCCGCGCTGGGCGCGGGTATGGGCATGCCGGGCGCGCGAGACTCCTGGGAATCTCTGTCTGGCATGCGCTGGGCGTGTGTGAGCCTTGGGCTCTCTGGCTGAGCCCCGCCAGGCGCAGGCATACCTGCGCTGGGCGCGCTAGCCCCTGGTGCTCTCTGGTTGTACCGCGCTGGGCGCGACCATGATTGCGCCGAGCGCGGAGATGAGAAATTTATATATGTTGGTTAATGTCGTTTTATGCTTAGTTGAGTTGTAGACGAATATAATGTGATGACTAATGGATGATGTTGGTTGATTGATGTTGAGTTGTATATTTGTGTTGTGCTGCAAGTTGACATGTTGAGTTGTACAGTTGAGTTGTGTTGAAAGTTGATGTTGAGTTGTACAGTTGTGTTGTGTTGCAAGTTGATATGTTGAGTTGCAAACGTTGTGTTGTGTTGAATGTTGATATGAGTTGTTGTAGGCCATAATGGCTGAGTTGTTGTAGGCCATAATGGCTGAGTTGCTGTAGGCCATAATGGCTGAGTTGCTGTAGGCCATAATGGCTGAGTTGCTGTAGGCCATAATGGCTGAGTTGCTGTAGGCCATAATGGCTGAGTTGCTGTAGGCCATAATGGCTGAGTTGTTGTAGGCCATAATGGCTGAGTTGTTGTAGGCCATAATGGCTGAGTTGCTGTAGGCCATAATGGCTGAGTTGCGGTAGGAGATCTCCGAGTTGATATGCGTGACGACGCATTGTGTGCTGATTGCTGATTATGCTGTAAGATCGATGAGTTGTATGCTGAAGATGTGTGCTGTTATGGCTAAATAATGTGGTACTTTAAATGAATTTTGTTAAGTTGATTGATGTGTTGAAGTGTTGTGTTGTGCTGTGCTGGGCTGTGCTGAGTTGGGGGATATTCTAACCGCTAAGGCAGTGCTGATATTGCCGCATTGCGGTACTGATATTGTTGAGTGGTATAAGCTGTATAAGTATGTTGATAATTGTATCTGTTGTTTATTTATGTTGATATATATATATATATATATTTGTATGTTGAATTTTAATTACACTAGCTTACCCTTTTGTTGTCTCCATGATGTTGGACTGCGATGATCATACTATGTATGGGAGCAGAGCAGGGATAGGTGGGCATCTAAGGATGAGTCTTCGGCGGACCAGTAGAGCTGATCATTTTTGTGACTATTTTGTTATGTAGCTACTTGGGATAGTAACATTGATTGTACTTTGTGTTGTACACTCTAACTCTAGTTGGATAGAGACTTTGTATATATTTATATTCTAGACCCTATATTTATATACTTATCCTTCTGTCTGGCGTTTCCAGTGTACAATGGTGTGTGTAGTGACCAGCCGGGTCGTTACACTTTAGGGTGTGCAGTGGTGTGTGTGTAGTGACCAGCCGGGTCATTACAATTATATTTATTCTCGTCTCATTTATTAACGAGTAAAGTTATTTGTGGATATTTTTTTAAATTATTTATTTATTATCTTTAACTACGAATATTCATAGATGGAATTTTTTTTGACATCCGTAATTCACAAATATATTTTTATATATTTAAAAATTTTAACTTTTATTATAAAGTTTAGTCATATAAAGTAATTTCTTTATTAATCACACATATTAAAATACTGTTATATATCTATATTTCCAAATTTGTTCCTTCATCGTTATTTCTTTTGTTAAAAAAATATATTTGTAAATCGGGTTAAATATTTTTATTTATCATAACCGGGATATAAAAAAACAATTTGGGCACATAACAATTTTATAGAAATGAAATATATTTAGAATCATTAATTTTCTAATTAATAATCTCTCTATATACAAGGTTACCTTTTATTAATTGTAGATTACCTGAGCCGGAAAAAAAACTACACATTATCTTAATTGGTTTAAATTTTGTAACCTTTATTTTATTATTTTAAATTTAAAATTAAATCCATAGATATATGAAGTGACACTTTTCAATTATAATAAAATCAAGGAAAAATAGCCCATAACAATGAAAATCACAGGAAAATATGTCCAACAAGTAACCCAAATTTAAAAAAAAAAATGACGTCAAAATATTTTATGTTTGCTTGTCAGATTTACTTTTATTATGATTTCATTATATTTATAATATTTTTTATTCGAATATCAATTATATTTTATAATTTTTATATACATAAACCTAGAAGAAACACAGGGGCAGGGGCACTTTCATTTTCACTTCTACGAATCTATTCTCACTTCTCACTTCGCACTTCGCACTTCGCACTTCGCCATGGCCTTAGCACCAGCCTCTCTCCCGAAACCCTCCCTCCTGCACACCCACCCCTTCGCGAATAGCAATAATAGCCTCCCAATCGTGCTCCCACGCGCGGCCTTGAAACCCTGGTCCTTGGTGGTATCCTCGAAAAAGCGGATTGGCGATGTGGTGGTAAGCGAGTGGATGGAGGATGAGAAGCCGCGGGAGGAGTGCGGCGTGGTGGGAATCTACGGGGACCCGGAGGCGTCGCGGCTGTGCTACCTGGCCCTGCACGCGCTGCAGCACCGGGGGCAGGAGGGGGCGGGGATCGTGACGGTCCACAACAACGTGCTGCAGTCGATAACGGGGGTGGGGCTGGTCTCCGACGTGTTTAGCGAGTCAAAGCTGGACCAGCTCCCCGGCAGCCTGGCCATCGGCCACGTCCGCTACTCCACGGCGGGGCAGTCCATGCTGAAGAACGTGCAGCCCTTCGTGGCCGGCTACCGCTTCGGCTCCGTCGGCGTCGCCCACAACGGGAACCTCGTCAACTACCGCACCCTCCGCTCCCACCTCGAGGAGTCCGGCTCCATCTTCAACACCACCTCCGACACCGAGGTCGTCCTCCACCTCATCGCCACCTCCAAGCACCGCCCCTTCATCCTCCGCATCGTCGACGCCTGCGAGAAGATCCAGGGCGCCTACTCCATCGTCTTCGTCACCGAGGACAAGCTCGTCGCCGTCCGCGACCCCTTCGGCTTCCGCCCCCTCGTCATGGGCCGCCGCAGCAACGGCGCCGTCGTCTTCGCCTCCGAGACCTGCGCCCTCGACCTCATTGAAGCGACCTACGAGAGAGAAGTCTTCCCCGGCGAGGTTCTCGTCGTCGACAAAAACGGTATTCAATCCCTCTGCCTCATGACCCACCCCCAACCCAAGCAATGCATCTTCGAACACATTTACTTCGCGCTTCCCAATTCCGTTGTCTTCGGTAGGTCTGTCTACGAGTCTCGCAGACAATTTGGGGAAATTTTAGCCACCGAAAGCCCCGTTGATTGTGACGTTGTCATCGCTGTTCCTGATTCCGGCGTCGTCGCCGCCCTCGGTTACGCCGCTAAGGCTGGGGTTCCCTTTCAGCAGGGTTTGATTAGGTCACACTACGTCGGCAGAACCTTCATTGAGCCCTCTCAGAAAATTCGCGACTTTGGCGTCAAACTGAAGCTCTCACCCGTCCGTGCTGTTCTCGAAGGGAAAAGGGTCGTGGTTGTGGATGATTCCATTGTGCGAGGAACTACCTCGTCCAAAATTGTTCGGTTGCTGAAGGAGGCTGGTGCTAAGGAAGTTCACATGAGGATTGCAAGTCCTCCAATTATAGGGTCTTGTTACTATGGTGTGGACACTCCCAGCTCCGAGGAATTGATTTCCAATAGGATGAGTGTGGAGGAGATAAGGGACTTCATTGGGTCTGATTCTCTTGCGTTTTTGCCCTTTGATAGCTTGAAGAGGTTGTTGGGGAATGAGTCTCCCAATTTCTGTTATGCATGTTTCTCTGGGAATTACCCTGTGGAGCCCAGGGAGCTTAAGGTGAAGAGGGTTGGGGATTTTGTGGATGATGGCTTGAATGGGAGCTTGGAGTCTATTGATGGGGGTTGGGTTCAAGCCAACAGAAATCAAATCAAGGTGGGTGGTAGTTAGTGCAGTGCCCCTTCGTGGCACACTAGTATTTTGACAATTATCCTGTTTCTGGTTTTGTTGCAGTCTTAGATAGGAGCCTAAGGCTGCTTGCTACCTGGTACCTACCATTGTCATGTGATAATGTCAAACCATTCAACTACACCGGTGAGCTTCATTAATTCATTTCGATTCTCAAGGCCAGCATGCTTTTCTCATCGAATATATGGAGCTTTAAAGTTTTTGTTATTTAGAATTTAGAACAAACCAAACTATGGTATATGAACGTTGGATGTTTTTCCTTACTTTTTTTCCCTCTTTCTAATATACATCTTGGGATTTTTCTCGGATGGCTGATTTCCATCTTTTTTTGTTATTGTATATATATTTGTTCGTGTGGGTGAAAAAAGAAACAGAAGTAAACATATTTTGAAATAATCACTTACACAGGTTTATGTTTATGTTTACTTGGTAACATAAAAGTGTAGAAGGGTTGAAGAGTTCCAGTAGTTCAGTTCAGACTTCAGAGTCGAAGTTTTTGAGTATGTTAAAGTTTGTTTTTAATTTTTTACCTTCCTAGTTTTCGCCCTTTGAGGATACATTGATTTGATGCGAATTTCAACTTCTCACTCCTCAAAATAAATACGATGTGTCCCTTTACCTACCAGGTGTTGCTATAGTTTTTATTTACCGTTAATCTAACAGAAGTACTGGCCAAAATTAGCAAACTACTAGTGGTGCTGATATTGAGGGTTTGCTTATTCAGCTGGTAGAGAATAGTGCAAGACATGGAGCAATGTGTGGAATTGAGGGATTGGTTATATAAAGAAAAAACGGATGATGAAAAAAATCTCTTTAACTGTTTCTTTTTTTCTTTTGAAAAGAAAAGAAAAATTCAAAATTTAATAGGTTTGAATGAGAAATTAATTATTGAATTATGTATGATTTTAAACATCAAAATTTTAATAGATGTTGAATGACTTGTATTTGAATTATGTGGAATGAGAAATTAATTATTGAAATATGTAGAGTTATTTTAAAAACAGTTTTTATAATCAGAAAGTCAGAAAGGAATTAATCAGGTCTCATCTCATATATATATTAATATGTCCAATGGACATGATATGCCAAGAGTTTTGATGAATTCTGAAAAACGTGTAGAAATTATAAACAATCTATCGGCAAATTAGTTTCTACACTTTTTTTTTCCTTGAGAAATTCTGCACCTTCTTGTGTTACCTTTTTAGGTAATTATCCTTATTGGCGGATTGAATTACAACATCTCTAAAATAAAAAATAATGTGCTCAAACTGGGAGAAGTTGCGATAGGGATTTCTTTTAATCCGTGGGTTAGGGATTTATGAATCGTTAATAGGGCTATAGGGAGGGGTAGTGTGGGGATGCAATGATATGCCTCCTGAAAAACCCAATACCATATGAAAATAAAAAGACATTCATTTCTTGACTAATTCTTAATGGTTAATATCCCGCAATAAGTTTAAATTTTCTATAGAATTTTTTACTTCAGGTCTTGTAAATGAAAAGAATAGACATTCAAAAAGTTTTGCTTCTTCGAAGAGTTATTTTTAACTGGATTTAAATTATAAGATATACTGAAGATATACAAATTTTATAATTAAATAATATTTCAACATGCAAAATACAAAGGCTAAATGCTTATTAAAAATCATTAAAATTTATAATAGATTATATACATAAGCAAATATTATATTTGAATATTTAAGCTATATTTAAACTTTGTATATGTGAATATTTTTAAACATACAAATTATATTTTAGATGTATAATAAATAATTTATCTAAAATAAAAATTGAATTAAATAAAAAAGTTAAATAAATATCTAAGAGCTCTTTCTTGAAAAAAAAACTTAAAAGTATTTTCACATAAAATAGATGTTTGTATTTAATATATATAATTCAATTAAATTTTAATAATTAGTTATTTAATTAATATTTTTTACCACCAAGGCAATCGATCTATTCTAGCTGTAGAGATAAGAGTAGACAAATTTGCAATGTTATTCTTTCCCAAACTCAAAATTGATTCAAGCCATTACGTGAAATAGTTAGTTAACATGGTGTGACCCAAACAAAAACTATTAAGATCATTCTTTGGACTATTTTATCTTATTATAATTAATTGTTTATTGCCTGAAGATCATATAATACTCTTATCTTACACTTTATTTTATCACGTGCGATGAAATTTTTATTTTGACGGAGAAACTTGATTAGGAAATAAGATATATTGATAAACTCTTTTTTCTCCCCCTCCCCCACTTTTTCTGTCTATATATTTCGCTATATGCTATGCTATTTATATAATTAAATATAATATATAACATAATATCTATATCTATAGCTATAATTTATAATTTTGTAATTATAATAAAAATAAAAATGATAAGTTATTTTAATATTTTATTTCTAATTTTATCCTTAAAACTACCCTAATCCCTAAATTACTTCAATTGTATCTCTAATCTCTTTAAAATCTTTAATTATTCAATTTTCTAAATTCCTTTAATTGGATTTTAATTCCAATACCCTTGCCACTTTCTATTTTTGGTTTTAAAAATTTTTTTTGATTAACTTCAAATTTCATAAATGTTTTATTATTATACATATGTGGCAGATAATTAATCATACTAGAGCATGTAGCAAGTGTTGATGTGTCAAAGTCATTATCATGTCATGGGTTTCCATTAAATTTAAGAGTGAGGACAAATCATTAAAAATAGGCAGAAATATAAATCAAGAATAAAGAACATTCATTAAATTTATCAAAGACTACAAACAAAACTTATTATATTTGGATGGACTAAAAATATATTTAAACCTATTATTAATAAATTGATATTTTTTATTAATAAAATGGTAGATAAGGGATGATACTCCCAGATTATCGAACAGAGAGTCAATGACATGTTAGAGATCCTCGTATCAAACACCATTGTCAACTTAGTGATTAATCGAAGCTCAACAATATTTAATTTGATCCACTTATTTGTCGAACTGAGAGTTGATAAAAACTTATTAGAAGAATTTCATCCTTAATATCAAGAAATTTTCCTGAGCAGGTACATCTATTAAAATAAGATTTTATAATCACAAAAAATGTCAAACTCACATCATAGGAAATGTAAGTTCGAACCACATTTTATACCATTTGTATCAACTTACAATAAGTAATAAAATAATATATCATTTTAGTGTATAATTTTATAATTGTTTTATTCTATAATTTGTAAAATATTTTTCATTTCTACTACTCAAAACCTCTTGCACTCATTTTTGACTGTTCTCTTATATTTGATTTCTATTAATTTTTATCATTTATTTAATTATATATTTTTTAAACAAAATACACATAAACACTATTTTTTGTATGCTAAAATTTATCCAACTCTAATTATATCTTACTCTCATCACATAACTTACAATGACCGCCAAACGAATTCTCAAAACTCACAAACCTTCACTCTTATTTTTTAATAGAAAAAGAGGTTTCTCGCTGATAACTACTAATACATCTTGGTTAAACAATTTCTGTTTAATGAAATATCAGTCTTTAATTAAAAATGAGAGAAAAGTAATTTAAGTAATAATAAATAAAAGTTACGAGTTAAATTGTGAGGATTCGTTCAGAATTAGAAATTTCAAATTCACCGCAGCATATTTATGTCAAGATGGACTTAAAAATAAGTTACTGTTCATATTTTATTGTTAACGAATATTTAAAGTTCTTCGGCAAAAATAATATTCAAATTATTTTTTTTTGTGAAATTCAAATTATTAATTTTCACTAAAGGAGAAAAGATAATGTATACTAGTTTATTCGTACTTGAATCCAAGGTCAGAGATAAGGAGACATCAGTGACCACACACGCAGAAAGAAGAAAGCTATTTGGCTCTTCAGACTTTTAAAATTAAGTTTAAATATATTTTTTAATTAAGAAGTTTTTTATATTAATAAAAGATATATTTGTTTTTAAAAAAATCTTTTGACCATTTGGCCTTTTGAAAATACAAAAGTTACATATTTTGGATGCAGTATTATTTTTATTAAATGTAAAGACTATAGATAAACAAAATTTAAATTGAGACTAAAATAAAATAAAAACTGAAGAACAAAAAGATATTTAACAATTGAATTATTTATGTAACGTCAAGACTTCTCAAGCTCGGAAATATCTTTTCAGCTTTATCTTGAGCACCTGAGATATCATAATTTGTGCTTTGGAGAAAATCTAGAGCCATTTGGAACCTTGCCCATGTAACATTTCCCACATCCATATCTGTTAATGAAAAGGTAAAAATGTGAATCGAGATTATATTTTTTACTCGCAAGCATTCCAAGGAAATGAGATATTATACCAAGATAAATGCTCAATTGATAATGAACTGCAAAACATTTTAAGCGTTGGTCTTTTTCACATCATTCGTACGATTCACTTTACCTTTTAATCTTAAATTGAGTATGCTGTATGCACGTTTGGATTAATTTATTTTGGTGAAAATATAAAAGTTGTCCTCAAATCAGGGGTGGCAAAACGGGGCAGCCCGTCCCGTTTTGGCCCGC